CTAGAGCAAGTGGACAATGCACCTGTCTGTCTTTGCATTCTGTACTGATAACAAACTGCCTCTGAACAAAACCTCTCAGGCTTGCCTTAATTTTGCCATAGTTAGTAGACACAACACACAGTAAAAAAAGACATGATACCTTTTCTGAGTACTGGAGATCACACTGTAAATATTGCTTCGTATTCCCTATGACCCATGTTTCTTATTTCAGTGTATATGCCTATCACATGGCCTGTTAACTAATGTGGAACCCATGAGTTTCATAAGGTTTTTATTAGGCAAGGTACAAGGATTGAATGAAAAGTAATGCCTCCACCTTCGTTACTTGGGTTTGGATGGAAATATTTTAATAAATGAAGCACAGAAATAATCCTTAGAATGTGCTCTTTAATTACCACTATTCACTTTTCGACATAATCACCAGACAATTGCATACATTTCTGCTAATGATGAACAAGTTATTTGAAGCCGTCACAGAAGAAGACGACAGTCTGTTTCCGCAACTCATAGTGCACAGATCTTCCGATAGCCAAGCAAAGCAATAATGTGACCCATACGTTCTTGTGAAATGTCGATTATGCTTGAAATTTCTCTCTGTGATGCAACGATCACCCTGAATCAATCTGTCAAACTTTTGCTTGTGAAACTTGGTGGTTGCTGTCACAGGACATCCAACTCTTTGTTTGTCATGCAAGTCAGATGTTTCCACCTCAACATCTTTAAACTTACTCGCCCAACGATGCACAGTACTCACATCAACACAATCACCATAAGCAGCTTGCATTCTCTGATGAATCTCCTTTGTGGTGACACCTTCTGCTGTCAAGAATTCAATGACTGCACGTTGCTTAAGTCGCATTGACTGCACAGGGTTCCATACTTCTCACTTTAACAGCACAACCATTCAATGCGAAGGCTTCATGCCAAAATGGAACTGTAGAAGAGAGTCTACTGAACAAGCCAGTACCTGCTGCATACCAGTACTGCTATCTGTTAAGGAGTTACAAAGGTGGAGGCATTACTTTTCATTCAACCCTCGTAGAGTCTGATATGGTTCTATCATTTCCTTCTTCTGAAGTATAGCCGCCAGGTATAGTGCCAGATATTCATTGGCATTTTTCCATCCAAGCACTATCCAGGACTGACCCTATTGAGTATCCAAGATCAGGTGAGATCTCTTTCCTGGTTAATGTCATTCATATTCCTGGAACATGTGTGCACTGCTCTGTGTACCAGCTTTATATAAAATAGCTCATTAGTATCACCAAAAAAACCTTATTCCTTCTATAAGGATGCATAAGCTCTGTTAAGCATCGATGTCAAGTGTGAGCTATTACTATCTTGCTTGTTTATTTGGATCGTGAGCATCATTTGTAACTGCATTTTCTCCTCTCTATTTAGCTTCATCACTTCCTAAGAAGTGTTATCTTTAACAACACAGTTGGTGCACAGATTTCCTTTAATAAAAATGGGGAATTAATAGCTGGGTTTGATATCATCAATTGGGTCACGTTCCCCAACGATACGTTTAATAGAGTGAAAGTGGGAAGGATAGATCCACAGTCTCTACCAATCATTGAGTTCACTGTTCATGAGGATGCCATTGTATGGCCCAGCTGGTTCAATCAGGTAGGATGTGAATACATTCCATCATGTGATTTCCACCCTCCCCAAAAATCATGAGCACATCACCCTGATAGGAAAACTATCAGGCAACATGCAAACAAGAGAGTATTCTTCATGAGCTGCAAATACTTCTTTCATTCTTTCTCCTCCACTGAAAAGGTACTCTCTCCTGTTTCCATCAAGCATTTTTTTGAAGGAGGTGGGACCAAAACTAGTGACTTTTTTGCAAAGTCTGACTTGGCCATGGTAGTCCACGCTCTGGTTACATCGCGCCTAGATTACTGCAACGCTCTCTACGTGGGGTTGCCTTTGAAGACAGCTCGGAAGCTTCAACTAGTCCAAT